AACATGAACATAATCATTATCATCCATGAGAGTTTCATAAATTCCTTTGACTGAAATCACAGCTCCATCTCTTAAATTCCAGCGCATCTGATCTGGACCATCTAGGGGATTGGGAGGGAGCAAGCTTTTAATTAACAACAAACAATTAGCTGGCAGCCATCTAGCAAGAGATTCCATATCCCACTGTCCCTGGCTATTCACATACCCAGCTAACTTCTTACCTATCTCTTCCTATGGAATTGGAACAGCCGATACATCCATGAGCCTTCCTATATCTTTGATCCAAATATCTTTCCAAAAAACAATGCTATTTCCATCTCCAATTTCCCACATTAGATGATTTTCTAAATTTTTCCATACCATACAGATATGCTTCCAAAGTCTAGAATCAGTAATAGAACTATGAAAAATATCCACCCCATTATGATGACTTCCATACTTTGCACGAAGAACCTGGAACCAAAGGAGGTCTGGATAAGAAAAAACAGCACAGGCAAGCTTTTCTACAAAAGCATCATTAATCTTAGAGAGGCACTTTAACCCCAAACCACCACCAGCTTTTGGTTTTACAAGATTTTTCCAGCCAATCAAGTGGATCTTCTTTTTATTATCTGTATCTCCCCATATGAATCTTCTCTGCATTCTCTCCAGCTCATGACAAATTGATAGTGGTACTTTATCACACTGCATTTGATAATATGGTGGCAAGAACAAATTGAGTAAGTGTTATTTGACCTGCTTGTGAAAGACACCTCGACTGCCACCCATTCAATCTATCTTGCACCTTTTCCACTATGTTCCTGTAAGCCTCTTTAGAAGCTCTACCATGATTTATCCACATTCCCAGGTGCCTCCCCACATTCCTGACTCTTTTAAAACCACAAGCAGTAGTAATATCCTCTGCAATATTCTCTGGAGTATTTTTAGAGAAAAAGATACTAGTCTTCTGATGACTCACTTTTTGACCAGATATTTCTTCAAACAGATTAAAACATTTCATGACTGTTTCAATTTGTTGAAGATTAGCTTTCGCAAAAATCATTAAATCATCAGTGAACATCAGATGAGAGATTGGAGGACCCCCACTACCAACTTGGATCGGTTTCCACAAACCCCCAGCAACAACAGTATTTACTATATGACTGAATTTCTCCATTCCAAGCACAAATAAGTAAGGTGATAACAGATCTCCTTGACAAACTCCGCGGGAAGGTTGAAACTCATCAGACTTCACACCATTCCAGAGAATATTGAACTTAGTTGAAGAAATTGCAGCCATAATGATATGAATCATTTTCTCCGAAAACTTTAGCTCAATCATTATATTCCTTACGAACTCCCAATTTAGTCTATCATATGCTTTCTCCAGATCGACTTAATTGCCATGAAAGCTTTCTTCCCTCTCATTTTATGCGTTGAGTGGATTAGCTCCTGCACTATAACAATATTGTCTTGAATATGTCTTCCAAAACTGGATTGCACAGGAGAGATAATCTTTGTCATAATGCCTTTTAGTTTTGCACCACAATCTTACTCAACAGCTTATAGACAACCGGACAAAAAGATATAGGTTTAAATTGAGACATGTTGATAGGATTATGAACTTTAGGGATAAGGACTCTAATAAAATGGAGTTTATAGTAGCTAACAGATCCGAATTTTCCCACAAAATAGCTATATGATTAGAAATTTGATCTTTCATCTTATCCCAATTAGCTTGGAAGAAAATGGCTGGAAATCCATCATCGCCAGGAGCTTTATGGGGACGCATGTCAAACAGAGAACTTTTACTCTCATCCTGACTAGGATTCTTAGCAAGCAATCTCAAATCCTTTGAATTCAAATGAGGCCAGAGATCTTGAGAAGACAGCCAACGCCTATTAAAATTATCCTCTGCAAAGAGCTTCTTGTAGAACTCACAGGCCAAAATCTTCAAATCTTCTTGATCCTCAATCCAGATATTTGCATTATTTTTTAATCTAGTAATTTTGCTATGATTTCTTCGAACGATTGTATTGAGATGATAGAATTTTGTGTTTCTATTACCATCTACAATCCATTGTTGCCTAGACTTTTGAAACCAAAGTAGTTCCTCTTCTTCAAGTACCCTGGCTAGATGCTGTTGAAGTTGATTCTCTCTATACTCCAGTCTAGTTGAATCATTAACAAGTCTAGCAGCCTGAATTTTGTCAATCTGACTAGTCATTGTCTCCTTTTTTTTATGAATATCACCAAACACTTTCATGTTCCACTTGCGCAGATGAGACACCAGTCTATGCAACATGTAAAGGATGTCAAAGCCATGATCCCAGTACACATTGAGGAACTGATTAAAACTAGGATGATTTTGCCACGCCACTAGGAACCTAAAGGGCTTACTACCTTTAACATCATTGCAGTCCACAAGCTTAAGCAAAAGATGATTGTGATCAGATTTGATCCTAGGGAGATTAGTGACTTTAGCATCTTCAAACACTAATCTCCATTGCATATTAGCCACTATACGATCCATCCGCTTGTAAACTCGGTCTAAATGAGCCCATTTAGATCCTTGCCAAGTGAAGGAAGATCCCTTAAAGCACACATCTTCTAGTTGACAATCTTGCAGTACATCTCTAGATTTTTGACATTTAGGTATATTTGAGGGAGACTCACCTTTTTTTTCCCCCAACTAGCTGCTATTTCATTGAAGTCACCTCCCACAAGCCAGGGTTCATTTACATTTCTGCTAACACATCTCAAATCCTCCCATAAACTTTGTCTGTCAGCTTCCCTTGGACTCACATATATTGCTGTGCATAGGAACTTACCCCCTTGATTAAGAGTAACAATCATATGTAACATTTGTTTAGTCTGGAATAAAGGTTTTACCTGAACTTTATTTGAAGACAACAATATCCAAATGCCACCTGAAAAACCTTGAGCTTTTTCGGCCCAAATTCTATCAAAACCATATTTCTTCATAATACTTGTTCCTATATTACTATTAGTTCTAGGTTCAAGAATCACCAATATATCAATGTGATGAGATTTAATCAGATTCAAAATAACTCTACCAATATCCCTACCACCAGCTCCTCTCACATTCCAAAATAGAATATACATAAATAAACTAAGAAAGGTTTACAGGGTTATAGAGAACCTGTGGCTCTTCCTCCATGGGTGAATGTGACTCACACTGACCCACATTTGGGTTTTGATTCTGAGCAGGGAAATCCTGATCCATTTCTTGCTGCTCCAAGTCTGGAGGTCTAGGAGCATGAAGGCCTCCAACCAAGTCTGACTGCTTCTTCCTCTTGAGACTGGTATTTAAGGACTTCTGATTAGTGTACCTTTGGATTGAAGGGTTCTCTCTCAGATTAGAGGAGTCTTCCATTGCTACCTCTTTATTATTAATCTCTTTTTTATTTACCAACTTATTCCCTTTTTTGTTCTCTGAACTTGTGGCCCTTTCCTCCTCCCCATTTACCTTTTCCCTACTTATTTGTGAACCACTCTTCTTATCTGACCCCTTTTTACCTCCAACCAGCTTGAAGTTGTTCTTTGATTCCACCAACTGCACCTCTTTTTTTTATTCTTTTTTCCTTGGCACCAACTTCTGATTATGCATGCCCTGGCTATCTATCTCACCATCCACTTTATTCCGGTCCTCATGAGCTTCACCATTCTCTTGAGTTGAGTCATTAATTTCTGTTTCCAGAACTGCATATCTAGCAATAGTTTTTTCTGGAACTTGGGAGTTTGGAGGTGATGCTTCCCGACAAGTATACCGATCGCACAAGTAATATAATAGTAAGTAAAGTTCGTCTCCACAGGGATTGTGATCCTATATCAATTAATATTCCTTTCAAGAATGGAAAAGTTCAAAATGGTTTGTTTGTGTCAAATAATGTCGATTTGAGAAAAATTAAAAGTAAAGACTTGTTTTTGTATTTTTATATTGAAGAATAAAAATAAGAACAAGAATGATTTGATTTATAAAAATGAGAAAAGCATTGTAGCTAGAGCGCACTCACCTTATGATCCCGACTTATTACTTTGGATTGATTTAAAAATATTCAATTATATAAATACTCAGATAATTATCATCTAAAATTAATTAGTTAAATTCCAATCCCTTGGCAATTTAACCCTTTAATCCCAATTGGAATCCTAATCCCTTTGCAACCCCTCATGAGAATTAAGCAATGAACACGATAATTCAAACATCTGCAATTCAATACACATCTATTCCTAGCATGCATACAAACCGTTATCCTACCCCATTTCAGGATGAAAACCCCAATATTCCTATCTAGGGTTCTAACCCTCAAACTATCCTCAACTATCAGATTGATCAATTTTAATAAAGAGAATATAAATTTCGCACAAGGTAAAGATAAAGAACTTTATATAAATGAGTAGAAATAAACCAATCCGTCGTAACAAGGGTTCACATAGGGTTTGTGACCCTAACTACAATAAAAAATAACTAGCCAAACATAATCATGGCTAAAAATCCAATATTCATAAAAACATAAAGTAAAAGAGAAAGAAGAAGAACAAGAATTTCTCTTCGGAGCTCTCCTTCTGACGCACGACGGTCTCCTTAGGTCCAGGATCCCTAATTCTGTGCTGAGCCTCCTTTTTATAATCTTCTTTTTCATCTTCCAAAATTGCCCTCTTGAAAAACACGGGCTGTGATTTTCGCAAACTGGCGCTCTCAGCGCCAGTTCCACGCCAAGAGCGTGGTTGCTTATGAATCATCACGCCATCAGCGTGAAATCCACGCTATGAGCGTGGGAGAAAGGATGGTTTCACGCCATCAGCGTGACATCCACGCTATGAGCGTGGATCTTCATTTTGACAAGTCTCCATTTGACTCCAATTTTGTATGCTTTCCTACAAAATCAGCGTAAAACCAGTTGAACAATCCTGGATTTGGAATTTCAGCAAAACAACAATAAACTTTGCCTTTTTACTCAGGATTAACAATTAATCTTCCTCTTTTTGGCTTGAATTTACCCATATGCTGAAGGCATATCAGGAGGACCATCAAGCCCTTTCTGATTAGAACTACTGCCTCTGAAGCTTCTTTTTTGTCTATTAACCAACATCCAAGGACCAAATCTCCCTTCCTGAGTATGATCCCCTATCTTAGCTTCTTGATGAATTTGAACATTTATACTAGAGGTTTCCTCTATTTTATTCTCATTCTGATTTTCATGAGACAGCTTCAAAATTTGATTTTGATGCCCCTTAATTGTGCAAGCTTCAATTTTATGCCCATACTTTCCACATGAGTAACAAACTAGATGAAGCCCCTCATATTCAACCTGCTTGATCTTACCCTCAATTTTGTATTCAGCCTGAAGCGGCTTGGTCAAATCCAATTCAACACACATTCGCGCGAATCTTCCCCTGGCTAGAGATGTTGTAGCTGCATCCACCTTGATGAATTTACCCAACCAATTACCAATGCCCTTTAACAAGTCCGTATTAGTATATTCAATTGGGAATCCAGGCAATCGAACCCAAGCCATAATTCTGGCAATTGTTGCCTGGTACAGGTTGAAATCAGGCTCCCAAGAGCGAATGGCAAGATAATGATCAAAAATTACCCAAGGACCCGCAATTAAAGCATGAGACAAATCCCTTTTATCTGAAAACCTTACCAGGAAATACCCATTTTCAACATCCGTAACAAAAACTTGACCCTCTCTAGCCCACATATTTTCAATTTTTTTTTCATAAACATAAGCAACAATTTCTTACCAAGTAGCTTCACATAAATAGCTTTGTTCCATGGCCTCCATGCTTTTTCCTTGAATGCATTAGAAAGAATGAAATTTGTTCTTCCATCTTTGTCCATTTCCCAACTTATCGCAGGTTGCTTATCAATTGGTTCTTCAGCTTCATTCTCCCTCTCTTCCTTTTCTTGCTCAGACAAATTCTGTTCATCTTCACTGATCCATTCTCCGTTATGCCGCATCAACATCTCCTTGAACGACATCCCTTCTTTCATCCACTCGTCCTCTCTTGCCGTCATCGATTGATCATGACTAAAGGGGACATCACCCCCTTTGTATTTCTTTTTACTCCTCTTCAGATTATCTGCTTCCTACGATGATATTTCTCCTCTTTCTATTGAATTCATTGCCAGAAAACAAAAACCCCCAAATCGGAACCCTAGCAGAGCTCGTCACACAATTTTAGTTAATTATTGGAGTGATATCAATTAATTATGATTAATACAAATTAGTATTAATAAAATGATTAAATTAATATCGATTAATTGTGATTGATACGCTAATGCTGATACTAATTAGGATTATCATCATTTATTATTATTATTATTATTATTTTACTATAAACTTTTTTATAAAATGATACTTCACTGAATGGAATAAAGAACAAAAATGAATTATGTTGATGAATAATTTTTTGCAATATGAAAATGAAGAGGAATGTAATAGTATTTAATAAATTTAAATGATAAATGATGAAAATCACTGATTACATAAAAGTCTATAGCATGATCAATTTTTTTTTTTCCAGTGTTCTCCTAAAAAAATGGTTGTATTTATTTCATGTTATGGGTGAGACTAGCAAACTTCTGTCTTTTCTTTCTTCCTTTTGTTTTTTAAAGTTTAAAAAATGGTCTTCAAGCTTAGTACGCCTTAGGACTGCTCTTATTTGACTATCAAAACGTGCATAACACCTTTTAAGATAAGAATTATAGCTCATGTTGCATAACAATGATATTCACGGGATATTCCTTTATCGCCAAGTCGATTCTCAATAAACATTTTAAAGGTATTCACTATTCATTACTTCTTTATTTCATTTTTTTAAGGGAAAGTTAGTTATAATAGTCGTTGCTAAGGTATTAAGTTTTGTATTTCATAAATGAGAGAAATTACTTCCACATTTTCGTTAGTTATTAATTTTAAGTGCATTTTAAAATACATCTGATTCAAATTGGAAAAGATATAAAGTTGATATAAAAGTAGTTTCAAGTATTAAATATATTACACATCTAAAACATGTAAGAACATTCATCGAGTAAGTTTCCCCACTATTGTTAATATTAGACATTAGAGAAATGAAAGAAAGAAGAGAAGTCCAATCTGTTTAGGGTGATCGTAAATTTAGTTTGACTCGATGATATGTCTAATCCAAATCGAATCAATCCAGAAAATGTGCATTGGCATAGGTAATAAAGTTAATTTTTGTTTAACTCTAATAAACTCAATCGCAATTGGTTAAGCATCAAACTTTTATTTTTTTTCAATTCAATCAAACTCGAACCAATTTAATTATCATAAAAATGCTTATAAAAAATATAGTTATCATAAATACTTATTTATTAAAAACTCAACTCAACTCAATAAATTTAATCAATTTAGTTTTTTTTTTCGAAACTAATTCAACCCAACTCTTCTTAATCATACCTGTAGTTGGTTTTTAAAAGAAGAATTTCACAAATCACTTTTTTATATTCAACTTCACAAGGGGGATTTAGATAAAAGTGCGCGTGCACGTGCAGACATGTGTTTGAATATGTGGAAGCCCGCATATGAATATTATGCACACGTGCCCACATGCCTCTGTGAATCCTTGTAGAGTAAATTCTTGAAAAGGAGAGAAGGATTGTGAATGTGATTGCATGTGGATTCATAAAATCCCAGTCAACTGCACTGTGCCCGAAATTTTTTTTACAGTCTACATTGTCTCAGTTCTGCCAAATGCCCTTTTTATTTTTATTGTTTTCTCCCTTTGCATGCATAGTGATAGAATCTCTTCTCTTTCTCACACACATAGATAAAGAAAAAAAAAAAAAGTGAATCCTCTCACGTGAAAAAGTGATCATGTATTCATGTTATTTGATTACAATCACTCATTTAAAAATTATACATTTTTTTCTCTCTTATCTCATCATCAATGAATAGTTGTGATTAAACAACATAATCACATAGCCACTTTTTCACATAAGAGCCTCCATTAAAAAAAAAAAAAAGAGGGTGGTGTTTTTACTTGGAGGATGAGACATTGAGACTGACATAAAAAACAACAGGCACATTTTGCTCTGCAAGCTAAATAAATGGTAGTACAAACTATAAAAGAGGGTTATGTTTCCGTTGAGTCATTCTTTAATCGTGACACATGATGGGCACGGAAAAGGAAAATAGGGGCACAGGGATACTGAATAATGTGTGCTGTTTATGATCAAAACAGCATATTTCCTTTCCACATTTGAACACCACCATATCAGAATTATGGTGTACTATATATAAATAAAACCCATTTTCTAAAGGACCACTTCTGTTCCAACTAATATTGTTCTCAAATTTCAACTACAAAAAAAAAAAACCCTTTACTAATAATATCTTAGTAGTAATCTTGTATCAAATTGTGACAATATAATGGGTGTGGTAGAGAGAAAGAGAGAGAGAGAGTGAGAAAGAGGCTGAAGTGAAGGGATAGGTGTCCATACACTGTGGAAGGGGAAATGGACGTGTACCCGGTTTTGTTAAGAGGGTACACAGTGCCTCGCTGTCTAGCATGTGAAGGAGTTGTGGATTTCTGTTTCTCTCTCTTACATGCATCCACTTCTCTAACCCATCCAACTGGCATTTTTCCCATAGATAAGTCAGGACAAAACTAGTCTAGGATTTAAGTTCGATTCTCTTGGTTTTCTCCACCACCTATCATCCACTTTTTCAATTTTTATCCAACTTGATCATCAGTCATCACCCCAAACCACTACTAGAAAAATCCTGTACAGTGAGGGAATTATTATGCAAATTCCGTCACTAATTTCATCCTCGCTACTACTTTCTCTCGCAGCTAATAATAATAAGGTGGGTTGTTACTTGCAAGAGTTTAATTAATTAAAGTTTAACACTCTTTTTTTCCTTTTACCATTACTATATCTTTCATCATAAATTGGAGACTCCTCCTGCATAGCAGAAACGAGACAAACTCGACTGAGATTTTCTTCTGAGAATCAGAAGCTAAGAAATTAAGATGAATGCATTGGCTTCAGTATGCAGTAGTGGGTGTGAGTCTGGTTGGACTCTATACCTTGAACACTCTTTCCTGAATCAGAATGCTTCACATAAAGGTTCTCAGCTTATTAGTGAAGATGAAGGATTTTATGAAGAAACCAAAGACAAAAACCCCAAAAACGAGGACGATGGGGAAGAGGATTTGTCCATGGTTTCTGATGCTTCTTCTGGGCCTCCACATTTCCCAGAAGATGAGTCTTACTTCAATGCACAAGATAATGGCTGCTTTTATTCTACATCTAAGGTAACAAAACTTGCCAAGAGAAGTAAAAAGAGGCAGAAAGTTAAAGAAAATCAACACCTCGAAGATGAACACCTGTCTTCTTTTCTTGACGACACTGCTAGTTCTCCTGTCTTTGGCTTCTCCATGGTGAGTTTGAGCTTGCATTGCCTTATTTCATTTTTCTAGTACTAAAAAAAAAAATCATGTCTTGTAGTTGTATGCTAGATAGTACTCACTCATATGGTTCTTGACAAATTTTCAGAACAATGTTACTGTGACCAAACAACAATCTTCGACAGAGAGTATGCTAGATTACTCACAAGGTTTCTCTGCAACTTATTTTGAGGTACTTGGTTTGATTCTTTCTTTATTTTCTTATAAGATTGCACTTGGTTCAAAGTCATATCTAAAATCATCTGTGTCCGTCCTTGCAGGAGAGATCCTCGTTGCAAGACCACTTAGGTTTTTTACAACCATCTTTATCGGAAAATGAAGTTCATAACAACAAGTAAGCAGATGCTTCTTCTGTGCACTGGAAGAAAACTTTTACTAGTTAGTGTTCTGAAAGTTCTATGACCTGTATCGTAGCAGTATTTTTAACTTTTCATTTGTGATCATTCGAATGCATTCTGTGTTTAGCAGATGGTACGGAGGGAAAGAGATGGGAATGATATAAGGATCAGTTATAGTAATGGCTACCTCTGTTATTGAACTTGTTGCAGTGGAAGTTACTCATGATCGATGGAGGGCAGAGAATCATTGATGGTGTAGAAGGAATTTTATCTCAGAAGGGATTCTGTTCCATTGTTTTCTTTTCCATTCTCTTTTAGCTGTCAATGCAGTGCGAAACAACCTGAAAGGAAAATTTAGAAATAAACTTTTTTTTTCTTTTTTTTTTGTTCTTTCATAATTTAATTCTCTTGTCAATGAATAGTGCACACAAGATAGACAAGTTAGGCAGACTCTGTATAAGCATGCTCAATCCTTGTTTTTGATGAAGTCCCATTCTCAATTTATATCAGCAAAGCAGCACTTGCAACTTTTGCCAAACAAACAAATAAATAAATAAATTTAACTCTTTAACCCCATTCTCCAAAATTGAAATGACCAAACCTTTTGTTATTCTTTTGTGGGTATAATAAATTAGCACTCTTATGAAATGCACACAACTTTTCCACATTAAGAGCTATAGTTGCAAATGCCTAGTTAGGTTTGAGTGGAGCAGGTCTTGTGTCCGTATTCAAAATTCCTGGGAGCAGGGGGCACCTGCTTTCAGTGCTTTGGAAATGCAACATTTCTTCAACAGTTAAGTGCAATCTCGGGGTTGGCAACGTGTTCCTCAATCCTTCTATATAGTTTAGATCTCAGTTACGCACAGAATGATCCTCTTTATGTATGTCCCAAGGAATACTGTGGCATAGAACATGACCGTTATCTGCTCCAATCTCTGAATTTTTTTAACTAAAACTTATACTGGCACATCTCAAAATGCTAAAGGAGATCCAAAAATTAACAAATTAATCCAAAAAAAAGCGTGTAACTAGGAGAGGAAGATATGTCAGCCTAGTTGATTAAGGTAGGATTTCTTTACATCTACATTTGGATCTTCACGTTAGTAGCTTTGAATATAAATTACGAGAAAAAGGGTTTAATCATTAATAAGGACAAGGCCTCCATGCACGTTTGGAAGAGTACATACAAGGCTTCATTTATTTTGAAAGTTCTAATGTTTCCTATAGACACAAAATTAAGGCTTAATCTGCTAACAAAAGGATAAAAGATGATAAAGTTGGTTATGAGGTATGGGCAATGAGGAAAGTGTACAAAGATGAGGAGCAAATGCCAATCTTCATGTTGGAATATTTCATATGCATCTCTTTAAATCTTTTCTAACCTCGGGAGATCTTGCCTGGGATCTTCCTGACCCAGAGGAACATGCCCCATTTTGTTTATTACGTCAACTTTATCTCATTTGGAAGGATCCCCATTTTAAAATACCATGTATGATGTTTGTTTATATAGGTTTGCTCCCTCCAAGTCTGTCTGCTTGGAAGCTGTCATAGGACTTGATGTCATGCACAATTATGTGTCTTCCTTTGATTTTTTTTATTCTTTTACACATTCCCAGTCAGTTCCTGTACAGATTAAAAAATCTAGTATTTGAGGACAGAAAGGTTGAAAAAGCTGAAGAAAATATGGCCATTGAGAATTTAGGATATCAAAATAAAAATCTCTGCCCAAGTTATTTTCTCTTATAGTCTTACATCAAGTAGTAAATAAAAATGGCTAAGGCTAATAAGCTAAAGACAAATGAAAATCATAAACTTGTAGTGAGAGAAATTAATTTAAATACGAAGATAGTCATTGCCCAGCTGCATTCCATTAAATTGGATAATAATCCAAAAGGGTATGGGGAAAACATTTTCTGCCTTTCCAACAACCGCCCAAACCAAACCCCTTTATCCCTTTTACACAGAGGAGATAGGGAAGCGTTTGTTGCTTCCAAAAACGTGTTTCATGTTTGATCTTCTATTTAGTTTGGATGTTCCCATTTCTCAGGACAACACTCCCTGCATCTCTGGTTACTACAAAATGATGACTAGCAGTGAGTAACTCTACAAATTGCTACATGTTATGTTATGACTTATGGGTTTCTGCAGTGTTTTATTTCTAGTCTACTTCCCAATACACTATCATTAGCAAACCTAATACCGCTAAGCAGAAGGTTGTCCTGAACTTAAATCCTCAATGAAGAATTCTATAGAAAAGCCACACTTCAAGTCAAAGGAATTTTAGTTCCTTCAAGGTGGAGGCTCTTATTTTGGAATCTTCTCTAACAAATTTTTACTGTTCAATACTGGACTTCACGTTACGATACAGCACAGTTCCCTTTGATCTTCTGCTTGTGGACTTGATAAAATAAAAATTCCAATACTAGACAGCTTGTGCCATTGGATAACTGTGTGACTGGTCCTTGGCCTTAAAGGGAGATAGATACAAGTACGCAGATACAACAACTAAGTTATGTAAAATATCTTCATGTGGACCCTGGATAAAGGAAGTTCAACTATTAAAACAGAGTTCCTTCCTAAAGTTACGTTGATACCCTAAACCCAAGGGACTCTGCCAAACTGGTCCAAAGTCATGGGCAGACTAAGCAAACCAAAAGTAACATCATGGGAGATCCGGTGGAGATATAAGTCACATAATGTCAATGACAGCAATGTAAGAAAAAAACAATTCTCGGAGTACAAACAAGTTTCCAAACCACAATTTTTTAGTTTGAGTCATGCATCAACAAAACAAGGATCACAATATTTGACTTTAGATGCCCAAGCGTGAGCTAAGAATGAACATGTTCAACCTAAAACTAATGTTTGGCCGCACTACCAAATTATTCACTAGTTCAGTTACTTAGAGCTTTGGTGCTGTTGATGAGTACTTTCAGGCCTCAATCTGCCAAAATATTTCTTGCCCCTTGAACAAGTCATTTCAATCCAATGAAATTGGGTTATCTCAGTAGTGACACATCTTGCAAGAAAGAAACTACTTTGGTACCGTGATATCCCAAGAAAAAACAAATAAGAAAGAGAAAGAAAGAAGAAACCCTCAAGGATTGAATTGTTGGAGCCAATGAAGTTTTTGAAGTTCACTATTGAAGTTTGTGATGCCAACCTAAAGTCAATAAGTTGTAGGAGAGCCCAAAGTCTATATAAATTCTACACCAGAACTTGCCGCTCTATTGTGGCCAGAAGACATAGTAGAATGCTCTGATACCAATTGTTATAAATTTTGGGAGAGAATCACCTCAAAAGCTAACTCATAAGATAGGAGAGACCAAAGTCTATATAAATCCTACACTTGAACCTTATGTTTCCAATGGTACTCAAGTCTCGTACCTTGCAATTGGATCGTAATAGTTGGACTTGTAATATACAATTTAGAAGCAGAGTAATTGGGAATTGCTGCTTTTCCTTGTCTTCTATGAACTGTTAGCAAATTGGATTAGGAATTCTTATTTACTGTAACAGATAGTGACATCAATAATATGCTTTGCCCGATTGACCTCGTTATATAGTTATACTAGTCTCTTTTCTCGATTTTTGAAGTAAAACTACCAGTTGTCGCGAATGGATAATGAAGAAGAGGATGAGACAGCACATATGGCCAATCTGTATAAGGACTAAGTTATCAAAAAAACGAAAAAGAAACCATTTCCCCCCAAAATATTCCCATTTTACTATTGAGCTAATTTAAAGCCACTGATTAAAAGAAAGATAAATACAATTAAATTTTTATATTTACCAAATATATGAGCAAATAGATGAGACAAGATTTTCTTGCAAAGCAAAGCAGATAGAATGATGCTTTTATCATTCTGACACATGGTATTTAGACAACTCTCCATCCGGTGTAAATATTTATAGGGTTTGTCTACTCTCATGTTGTAGGAGAGAGTATATCTTATGCTAAGACACAAAATGATGGGACCCACCACTAAAAAAGAGAAAAGAAAAGAAAATAGCAGCACACATATCGAAGTGTCTATGACATAAGATAGTAGTCTCCTACAACATGAGACTACCATTTCCCATATTTATAATACTCCTGACTTAAGAATTTAATTAATTACCTGTAATTAAGTAAGGGCATTGAAATTCTCATGTCACCGGAGAATTCCAACCATTCCTGCACACACAAGAGCCGTCGTTGTCAACTCTTTTCTTTTTCTTCTAAACTTTCATGGGGTCCACATTTTTTTTGTTAGTGCTGAAATGGGTTAAAACTTTCCTGCAACATAAGAAAGTTTTAACCCATTAAGTAATTAAGCATGTATAAGTAGGTAGAATTAAGTAAGAGACTAAAATTGAGTTAAGGGCACTTTTGAGGTCAACAATGTAGTCAGTGAGAATTAAGGGGTGTTACATTTTAATGTATCAGAGCAGTTTCTTAGGGAAACTTATGGATTTTTTTTTTTTATGTGATTTGCTTTGTAGTTGCTTTAGGAATTCATTATGATTATTGTATATGTGATCACTGAGTTTGGGCCTGATCAACTCATTTCTTTGTGTAACATGTGTAGTATCATGGTGAGAGCCCAAGGCAACCCCGAGGCAAATGATGCCAATGATCTGTCGAATCCGGTGTTGGCTACATTATTGAGGGATCGTGGTGGCCAAGCGGCACCCGGTTCGAGTGTACAACCTGATCCCGTGATGGGCACTTTAGTAGCCATGCAAAGGGAGTTGACCGTTAGTCGCCAGGCTAATGAGACCCTAATGAAGACGAATGAGGATGCGCGGAATGCCGTGACCGCGATGATGAATGAGTTAAGGACACTGGGGGGTGCTAGAAATGAGAACAGACCACTCACTCCTCCTCCTCATGTAACATCCCCGTCTCGAGCCGGTTCAATTAACATACATATGATAAAACAGAAAACAGCGGAAGATTTAACTTATGAAAATACGAGCTAACTTTTTCTTTTTCTTTTTAAATTCTCATTCGTCGT